GTCAGGGGGGCTGAGGGGCAGGGGGCCAGGGCCTCCCGTTTGGCACATGGTGGGAGAGGAGGAGGGCCCAGCCTCAGGGGCCTCCCCAGAGGCGGTGTCTGTGGTGGTGGCAGTGGCTCCCTCGTCCACAGAGGATTCTATTCTCAACCCCTCTTCTGGGGGAGCAGGGGGGTCGGGTCTTCGAGGGGTCAGTTCTCCACGGGGCCTGATGACAGAGTGGAGAGAGAAACAGAATTACTGGGCCGACAGGTTCATGGCTTCTGGCTCACTCAGAGTGAAAGCCAAACCCTTACTGTGGCTCAGAGGACCCCCAATCGGCTGGGCCCCCTTTCTGTCCTCAACTCCCCCTCCCCCTCATTCACTCTGCTCCAGCCACAACAGCCTCCTTGCTGTTCCTTCTAGGCTCCAAGCACAGCCCTACCCCAGGGCTTTTGCACTTGTGGTTCCCACTGCAGAGAACCCCTTTCCTTAGAACTCCATGAACTCAGGCCCCTGCCGTGACGCCCCTGTCCTCAGAGGCCTTCCCTGGCCATTTCCAGTCAAGCAGGTGCCTCCCCACCCCATTCCATCGCACTGGGCTATGGTTCTTTTTCTTTCTCTCTTCTGGGATAATCCCAGTCATTGTTGAAGAGCTTCCTGTCTGCTGCTCCTCAAGAATGAAGGCTCAAGGACAGGCCTGTGGTCACTGCTGCATCCCAGTGCAGAAAGCGCCCTCGCACCTGCCTTCCCCACGACCCTGCCCCTCCCAGTGGAAAGAACTACCCCCTGCCCCATTCCACACGGCCAGGGAAACAAGGTCTCTGGGATGGAGGACCTCACTCAGGGCCACTCATCAGGCACCCTCGCTCTCCACCCCACACCTCTTTCCTGAGTGGCCTAGGTCAAGTCAGTGCCCTCGCTCCATCCCTGAGCCTCAGTTTCCTTCTCTTTAAATGGGGAGCATGACCCTCGTGTCCTTTTCAAAGGAGTGGGGAGACTCGGATACATGGCATCACTCAGCATCCAGGAAACATTTGTTGAGTAGGTAGAGCCACGGTGAGCACAGGGGTCTGAGGAGTTAGGGGGCCCTGCTTGGGCCCCCATGCCACGGTCCTGCGTCACTGCCAGGCTCTGTGCTCCCCAGCCCAGCTGCAGTGGGACTGGCTGCCGATGGAGTAAAGGGACTTGGGGATTCAGACAGTGAGGCCGTGCCTCTCCCCTCCTGGTGATTAAAGATAAAGTCATCTCCATGTCTGCCACCAGCCTCGGCCCTGACTCACCACTTGGCCACTGGCCCCATGTCCTGGAACCCACCTCACCCTGTCCTCATGGGGGCCTCAGAGAAGGCCTCTGGGAGGAAGTGACATTTGGGGAAAAACCTGAAGACGTAGCCAAGTGAAGAGTCAGCCCTCAGCCCCATCCCTACTGCCCTTGACTCAGTGTGTACCTGAATCTCCCTCCTGGACTGTGACCCAGCCTCCTTCCCAGTCTCCAGTCAGCCCCCAGTGGTCCAGGGGGGTCGTCCTACACCCAGGGCTGAGTAGCTCCATCCTCTGTCACAGCCCTCCCATGGTTTCCTAACACCCCCAGGACTAAGTACCCACCCCT